ATATGCTCACTGCTCTACAAACGAGTCGTGCCCTCTAGTGACGGGACGCTATTGTGACGTCAAAATTACGTATATGGGTGAGAGCAATGTCGTTCAAATCAACAATTGTGTACGGTTGTGTAATCGTTATTGAGAATTAACGATTTTTGCTCGAGTATATGTGTCGTATTCAACATGATAGTTACATTTATTAATTGGTTGACTTAAATAGTTTACAATAACATAATTATACATTACTATTAAATGAGACTGAGACAATCGCTTCTTCTTGAAGTCGGATATTCTACGCGTTTTGTGATTGGTTAAACGTTTAATAGAGTTTGGTGGCCAATGAGTGCAGAATCTACACATTACTTCTACGTACATACTCCATGTTTTGTGATTGGTTAGTTGTTTTGTGATTAGTTAGTTGTTTTGTGATTGGTTAGATGACGATGATCAATGAGAGCACTCGCCTCTTCTTGAACTTATATACTACATGTCCTGTGATTGGCTCGGTGTTTGGATGGTAGAGTCTAATGGTCAATGCGGGCATACTTTTTACACATAGTGTTCACAACGTCAATTTGAACACACTCTAAATTTGAAATGATCCTTTTATCTGCAGTTCCATCAGACTCCGAAACTATTGACATGGAAAGCGAAGACAGTATAACGGCTCGGGAGAGGATGTTGCCGGCATGCTCACGGGTTAGTATCATTGCATAATGCAACAAATATTACTAAGAAATATACTTCTAAAATAGGAAGTAAGGTTCACGGTTTTATGTTAGATCAAAGCGTGGGAGTAGAGACTACTGCCTTCCACGATAAAAATAAACATGTACTCTGTGAGTTGGAGATAGCTAGGCAAAATGTGTTGTGAATCGTTGATCTTTGGAAGTATGGCATTTCGACGCCCTGTCATCTCGTACGAAACATTTTGTAGAAGATAATGTGTTTGATACAATGCAAGCACGAGGCAATGTGGAAACATTCATAAAAGTTATATTAATCACCAGAAACAAGATGTCTTTGGCAATCATAAGTGCCCATCTCATGACCACGTATGATTTATTTCACCGCATGGTATGGAGCACAATGTTGAGATAATGTGATCGTTTACCATGAAAACCCATTGGTAAATTTGTCAAAATCGCAGTTTTCGTAGATGACCGATGAACGGTCATTGTAAAAACCGATAATCTGATTTCAATTGTAGCAAACTAAATTAAAGCGGGGGAGTCGTCACCTACGCATGCGTCAGATGGCCATAGCGTGTCATTATTTACAAACAAGCGTCGACCCATAAGCCTCTGCGTTTTAGTGTACTAGTATGTTGTTATCGTCGCTTGGGACTCAATTCCCGCGCGTGCGCAGGTGACGACCCTCCCGCTTTAACCGTTGCCCATCACGTCAGAGCAGACACTAACATAATATAACGTATTACTATTCATTAGACAACCATTATGACGACAGTGAAACCATATGTACCAAGAAGAAAACGATTGGAACCAGCAAGCCTCAGTAAGTACAGCGCCGTCATTTTGTTCAGATTCCGGCTTCCAGCAGCCGAATCGCAAATGTGACTATTTCATAAACAATCACATGACAACTGACAACAAACCCGTCATCCTACTTTCCCGAGTGAACTTGAACAACCGTGTTAAGGGGCAGCAGTCGTCGCGCTGCGCATGTGCGACATTTGTGTTGATAAACATTGATTTTCCCACAATCCAACTTGCACTAATTACCGCCAGTGAGTCCTTCGATAACTTCCAATCACTTAAAAAATACCTAATTAGAGCTTAATAACGTTTGTATTCGCCATCTTTGTTTATATGAGACCCATATATCTCGCGCATGCGTGGCGTGACGACTACCGCCCTTTAACACAAATGACATTTCAGCCACCAGGGACTTTGCACAAACAAACACGCATACAGAATTAATTCTGTTGTTTTATTTTCTTCCAGGCGAAGGGTGGAAAATGTCCGAGCCATTGTCATTTCTCGTGAAAGACGACGTAGGCCGTAGTACGGGGATACGGCGTGCTATGAGGAAGCGCATCATCCCTGGCAGCCGTGTCACTTCGTTACAAGTGCCCGGATTCGACGGCGGTTTACCGAAAAATTCCGAGCAGAGTATTACCGGGAGAAAGCTATCGAAACGTCCACAGGAATTTTATGATTACTACATAAAAGTAGCAGCTGCGACTAAAGCGCAGAAGGAAAAAATGAAAACCAAACCGTGGATGAAACCATTTTAAATGTATATGTATATGGTCGCTATGTTCATTGCAGAGCGGTGAATGCGATGTGGTGTGTTTGTGATTTCTTCAAATTTATTTTTGTAAGCTGTTGGTTGCAGTGCAACATTGACATTCCGGCAGACATCCGTCCATTTTCACCAGAAAAAAAATTGTTGTAAATAGGAGTTATATAAAACTGTTTTCTTGAACTTCCCAAACTTGTATTTTACTGACTCAAAGTTATTATTTGAATGCCCTGGAATTGTGTATATAATGATGGTTAACTTAAGGAGTCATATTGTTTCCCTTCAATACCGCCGTGTAAGGCGCTGTTCATCTTAAAGGGCGGTGGTTGTCGCTTCGCGTCCTGTTCGATATGGGACGTATACAACGCGTATAATATACTTGTATATTGTTTATTTACATGGAATCCGAACACGCGATGCGGGACGACCACTGCCCTTTAAAGGTACTTACTAGTTTACGCATTAGTGCTGTGTATGAAATGTGGAGCCTTGTATTGCATTGACTTGTTATACACTCATCGTACAAGTTTTCGGACGCCCAAAGATCGAATCATTTTAAACTCGAGTATATAAATATTCAAGGCATGGATTCACCTTCGAACTCACTGAAAAAGCATGTTCGGTAATACATCGTGGAAATGTATTTTTTGTGTGCCAGGCGACAGTTCCGGACATTTGTATGTGGAAATTGCAAGTGCTAGTGCTGACATATAGTTGAAGTTCAGCTAAGGTAGGATTTGAACTTGGGTCTACAGGCCATGAGTCTGATGCGACAATCACTAGGCTACCAGTGACCGGTCAGGGGAAATGTATTCTTCAGGTGTTCGGATGGACGTTACTTTAATACTAAAAATGTATTCGTTACTTAACATAGACACATAAACCCTAAGATCTGTGGTTCATACAATAATTAGTGTAAACCAATGTGTACACTGTATTGATGTAGAGATATACAGGGCTGTACAAAAGTGAACCTGCTTGTTTTACGTCGGTTACCAGACTGGTACAGTCGTGGAAACTTTGTTTTACATGATAATTTCTCAAAAAACGAGTTTGTAGAAACTAATTTCGCATCGGACCAAGATTTAAGAAAGAATTAGAAAATTGCTACGACAGGGCCAGTCTAGCCAGTGACCTCCAACGATTCTGTCAACTTTAAACAAATATGCAAATGAAATCATGTAGGGTGAACAACCTGTCAAGCACAATTTCGCGGCAAATTTAACATCATATATTTATTCTGTTGTTGATTGTGTTTTATAACGATTTGTACTGAGAAAATTAACTGTGCGTCTTCATATTTGTCTACTAGTATCAAATTGCATTTCCAATTAACGTGATAACCTTGATGTTGTCGCTATCCTGAAATGAACTAGATGAGATATATTAGTCTGCACAATTAGTATGTTAGAAACAGGATGATGGAAAAACTGTTAATACGTATCTATATCGATTAGAACTGACACTGATCATGTTCAGAATGATAAGAAACTATGACATTCAACAGTTTACTGTGCCTGCGTTAAAAAAATAGTGTTTGTTCCTTTTAATGCACAATTTTGTGACATCGGTTTCTTTATTTGGAATATTTAATACGCTTGTTTCGGAAGATATGTTTTCCCTCCCTACGTTTTGAATTCACTTTTTGTACAGCCTAACGGAAAACTAAACCCGGTCTTATGCACATTATGTCAACTTCTCGGCTCAATGAAAACCATTCCCCAATCAACGGCCGTGATATGAATAGAGGGCACCGGCGACAAACTCAGTCGATGCATGGAACGCTAGATTATAATTTGATCAGCAGATGTCCGAAAACTGGCACAGATGAGTGTACACTGTAAAGGACTTCACAAGGTTTCACAGTTTTAAGACAATACATTTTTTGTGCTATCCGATTATACATTTACAGAATACGCCATAATATATTCAGTATTAAACACCAAGTAAATTTGAAGAAAAAAGGGGGGTCATGGTTATGTTTTAACCTATGTCGTGATTTCTACGGGGTTCTATAGTAGACGAGTTCCGAGTTTCCCCGTGTTACTACGTTACTGACCAAAAAAGCGAGTTGATTTTACAACCAGTCGTTGTCTACGCTCGGTGTTTAGCTTCACTGGTGACGAAGTCGTGCTGGCCATAGCAGAGCTATGAATATGATCACTGATTGTCCGTCGTCAAATTTTAAACTTCTTAAAAGGCGGTAGTCGTCGTACTGCGTCATGTTCGATATGGAAAATACATTGTTTATTTACATATATATTTACATATATTTACATATTCAAATACACGCTGCGCGACGACTACCGCGCTTTAAGTTGTACAGCTTTGATACTTTCCTGGATGATATTTTGGGTGCCTCTCCCACACATTTACTCTATTTTCGTGAAGAGAACTTTAATCACTAATAAATATTTTCGCAATTGTCGGTAATACGGGAGATTTTAGACATGTTTGTGTTGCCAGTCGCGAAGTGTAATCCTCGAATGCGTCTCTTTAACTTCAGATTATAATTCATTACTTCCGGGTGTGTCAATAGCCATTCCAGTAATTTATATATAGGGAAGAAATTAGACTTGCATACAGTCCCTTTTTTATTTGTTGTTTTCTCCAAAAAATGAAATAAAATGTGCGAGTGTAAATGGCGAAAGCCAAGTTTACAGTTTCTAGAAAGAAATGTGTGTTAACTCCATATTGGATTTGCAAAGGGTTATGGGATAGAAAAAAAAGGAACAATAGAGGGCGTTGAGGGCGAACTCACATCTTCTTCAATAATCCTTTGCAAATCCATTATGGAGTTAACACATTTCTACCCTTTAGGTAGACACTTGTCGGATTTGTCCTTTTCGTGATGATAACTTCAGACTCATAATTTTAACTTCTTTATGAAATGGGCAATAACCCGGTTACTATTTGAGTCAATGTACAAAGCTCTAATGCCAGAGGCTGCCGACTACGCTTGATTGAAGTCGTGGATTCAAACCCCAACATTCTCATTCATAGTCGAGGAAGAATACACTCTGTTTAAAGCCATTTTAATTATTTTGCACCGTTGTAAATGTCAATGGGGATGCACAATAACTTATTAGAAGATACCAAAGTAGTACATGAGCAGGAGTAATAAAAAATGGATGGGGGGGGGGGGCAGTCTCAGCCTTGTTTTCAGATTCTCAAAACAAACAAGTCATTGGTTTGACTTTAAGGTTGAAAATGTGACAACAATCATATCAGTATGCATGCAATACAATAACGTTAAAGCGGAAGGGTCGTCACCTGTGCACGCGCGGGAATTGAGTTCCAAGTGACGATAACACCGGTAAAAACGCAAAGACTCGTGGGTAGAAGCTTATTTGTAAACATTGACACGCTATGGCCAACTGACGCATGCGCAGGTGACGAATCCTCCACTTTAACATAAATTTTGGTTAATGTTGTTTTGTTATACCAGAAATGACACACACAACAAACATTGAACAGTATATGCGAATTATCATGATCAAGCCCGTGTGGACGAGAGCGATGATTTAAAAAAAGATGACTATCCCGTAAACCGCTTTCATTTCACATTTTTTTGGTTGTTAGCCATGACTAATGTTTACGGAAATCACCAACAGTGAAATCTTAAAATGGCAGATGGCTTTGTTTACACCTAATACCTGCCACATGTGTTTTAGAAGACACAATTTGACACAATGCGAAATGCGATGATTTCAAAGTAATTGCCATTTTTTTCAACAAAAATTAATTCTCATCCAGGGTACTAGTACTAAAATGTAGTCTTTGGCTTTTATGAAATTTTGCACTGGCTTGCGAAATTCACGAGAATTATTCACTCACAAAATTAAAGCAGACGTCATAGCGTGTCATTGTTTACAAACAAGCGTCTGCCCATGAGCCTTTGCGTTTTTGGCATGTGTTGTTATCACTTGGGACTCAATTCCCGCGCGTGCGCAGGTGACGACCCCCTCGCTTTAAAAAGTTTTACAGTATTTTGTTCATTGATAGACCTCAGGCATAATTGATGACATGACGCAATTCTTTGTGATTTTATTTGTAATGAATTTTAATAATGCACTGTTCTAGTTCTTGCTAAGCAACACAAGAATTTAATAAATTACAAAAATCATAATCTGACAATCAAAGTGTAGCGATCAACCCTTTCAATGACAAATAGTTTTTCTGCAAAAGTAATATCAACTGTCAATACTCAACATAAAGCAACTTATTCTCTACATCAATAACAAAAATCGCTTTTAGTTTTGGTTTAGGTAAAAATGTATAGAAGTGGAACTCAGTACTGACAATAGTTTATATTTCAAAACAACTACAAACTTTAAATTAAGTCAGAGCACAAATACACATAGGAGACCATTTCTCATTCACTGCGAGATCCAGTGTTATGCGTGAAATCAAATGTAAAAATGCGAGAACAAATGTTCTTAACGTTGTAGTAGATCAAAACATTGTGTGGGAATCAACAAATGTATTTTGGGGTATTTCCTCAGATAATAATATGCTATACATATTTGATGATGGTCAATTTCGACGAAGTAAGGCTATTTTAAAGGGGAAACTTCCAAACCCAGGGATCACATCAAGGAATTATGGGACACTATTGTTTGTTGTTTACAAAATTAATCTATTTTTTGTTATCCATTGTAATTTTAATCCAGAAAGTAACTAAATTTGTTGTGAGATTAGGCTTAACTGGAAGTGCCTCTTTAATGACATGCGCTTCACTGAAAAACCAGCACATCAACATTTAGCTATGAAAAAAGTTCACAATCAAATCATTTGCTTTTGCAGAAACTGTTTGTTTGATCCACGTCTTCATGCAATGCGAGAGGTCTCACAGTGAACAGAAAAATTACCTATTTGATCAGCAGAAAATCAACCATTAGTTTTGAATTATGAAATGATATTTTTGGGGATTTATGAACTTAACATTAGTGAATGAAGAAAAAAGGAATCATCACTATATACTTAACATGCTCACTGTTGGTCCCATGTTACAACACAAGAAATACACAGTTTGTTGATACCAATGTTCCCTCTAAAGCCAATAAAGCATGTCACAACTAGTTATGCAAAGTTTACTGCTGCAACATTGAGGCAATAAAAAAATCATACATTGATATTGTTACAGAATTTTTAATATGATAAAATGAAATTCACATTTTATAAACAAAATATGTGTAAAAACAAAAGAAATTGAGAGCCCCACTTTTTTGTTTGTGCCTTTAAGTTACCTGCAGTCACATACAATTTTATTTTCAACTCCATATCAGGAAACAATCTGGCAACTTGATTTTGAAGTTTTTCCTTTTTACTCAGGATCCAGAAAAAGCAAAATCATTTCTGTTAGAGAGCACAATGGTTGTCATGACAACCAAACACATACTGTATAGCGATGTCTGTGACACACGTACTGTAATTGGTCATTAAATGCAACTCAAAGGAAAAGTTGAAACACATGACAACATTTTACAATTCCATCAAAAACAAACAACTCATTACAACAATGAATGTAGTACAGTTTGGTTAAATATATGTTAGAGGTATAATACTGAGTAGAAATAAAACACAAATTAAAACTACAGATAACAAGAAAAACATGAAATAATTCAGCCAATAACAGGGATCAAAATTAATGGCTGTTCACCTGTTTGAGACAGGCAGATTCTAGCTGGGTTAGGGAAAAGTACAAAATTGTCCCTGTGGTGAAAAAAATATGAAGTTTTTACTAACCGTCCAAATGGGGCAATTGAAAATTGCTAATGCCTAGAAAATTACTTTCAAAATTTTTAAGACTTATGAAATGATGAGGAATCAAGAATGAACATTTTATTTTAAATATCATGTTGTAATTTATCTTGCTAGGGAGGTACATCATCAAATGGGACTAGCACTTTTATTTACCACCATGTCTAATGGACAGCCAATTTTAATTGTTATTTCAACCCCTGCAATAATGTATGCAGTATTCCACTCAATAGTTAGTCACAATAGTGAATTCTTTACATTCACATAGTATTCCACTAAAGCAATGGAAGTAAAATAAATAATACATTTCTTTTTGGAGGCCTAATGTTCATGATGAAATAATAATAATAATAATGGACTAACTTGCATAACTAAAATACAAGCGTCACCAGAATTATTGGTAGATGGGGCTAACAATTATTTTTGAAGCCTATTAGTTGTTATTGAGCGTTGAATCTGAGATTGTGAGAGTGAGGGAAATTCTTAGCCATTTACACTTGTACCATCTACACTGGACAAAGAATAAAAAGCATCCCATATAACACATGTGACATTTTATTTCCATGAATCTAAATAAGTACTGTAAAATTTGAATAATAACTAAAATAAAGGAGTTGAACGCCACATAGCATCGTCCGCCTGCACGGTGTTGTTCCGCTCGGACATTCCTCCCTCGTAACATTCACCTTGAAAATTCAAGATGGCCACATAGGTTTCAGGCTAATATCGATGCTTTTGCAGATTTTTTCAGTTTTTAATGAAACATTTCAGATGTTACTTCCAATTATGATAGACTACGCCATGAACATTTTTATCATTATCAATTTGGGCACAAATGATTATTAACATTATAATCAATCAAAAACTTGCAACAAAATAAAGAACATTTACTTAAATTTTATGAGAGTAATTTTCAGTGAAAATCATGAAAGATCGTAAATTGTTGACAATCTGATTTATGAAAATGATTTTGTTAAATGATTGAATCACAACTATTTACTGTGACAAAAAACAGTTTACAAATTTTTCAACAAAATTCAATGCCACATAAGTAATCTATTGTATTACTAAAATATTTACAATATAAAGACACATATAAATTATTAGTTTTTAAAATAATATTACTGATAAATACAAAAATGACACTAACTATTGTTAACACCAACATTTAATACAAACATAGAAACCTTGTATCTTTGATTCAACACATTGCCTGCTGACATTTGTTTTTGATTTATTTTGGCTATCCATGCGTTAATGTACTGTAGAATACTTTATTTTCGCTTGGAATTTATTTTCGCTATTTTCACTGAAGGAATGATTCAATGAAAATAAAATCCAGCAAGTATACCTTTTTTCCTAAATTTCACATTCAACTCATCAACAAGTCATTGTCAATGACACGTCCCCGTTCCGTTCATATTTGAGTGACATATACATTCAAAGCAGATCATGACCGAAATGCACCTGCATATGTACAACACATTGTGCTAAATCTGAACAAAATCCATCCATGCATGACTGAGATCCGGTTCTGGAATTGTGAAAATACGTGATTTTGATGCATTTTCGGCCTTAAAATGGCCATCATTCCGCTATTGTTAAGCAGATCATGAAACAAATGCACATATCTATTTGTGACATGATGTACCATGTGTGTGTGAAGTTTGAACTTGATCAATCCAGACATGTCTTGGATACGAATCCAGAACTGAATTCTTTAACAAAATGGCCGCCAGTCGGCCATTTCGAACTTGATCCGAAAAAAAAAAGACGTGCATCAAGGTCCTATTATGTTTAATGTATGTACCAAATTTGAACAAAATCCATCGATGCATAACTGAGATACGGGTCCGGAATGGTGAAAATGTGCGATTTCAATGCATTTTCGGCCTTAAAGCGGCCCCCATTTGGCTATCGTTAATGAGATCATGAAACAAATGCACATACATATTTGTGACATGATGTACCTTGTGTGTGTGAAGTTTGAACTTGATCAATCCAGACATGTCTCGGATACGGATCCAGAACTGAATTCTTTGAAACAAAATGGCCGCCAGTCGGCTATTTCGAACTTGATCCGAAAAAAAAATGACGTGCATCAAGGTCTATATGTTTAATGTATGTACCAATTTGATGAATCCG